ATGATTCACATAAGAACTGCAGTGATGGGCTTAATGACCAAAGTAAAAACGATTGTAAAATCAACTTCAGTCACATGATAACTCATTTTAACTACTGCATAGCTTAGGAACCAAAACTACAGTCACAAGTGGAATCATAGGTCAAGAACTACCTGTATATACCGTATTTTTTGGAGTATAAAACACACTTTTTTTTCCTCAAAAAAGAGGCTGAAAATCTGGGTGTGTCTTATACATTGAATACAGCATTTGTTTTGCCTCCCGAAGCCCCGTCCCTTCACCAAAATGTCCGTGCCTAGCCTTATGGAGGCTTTCAGAGAAATCTTGGGGGCTGGGGAGGGGAGAAATGAGGAAAAATGGGCTGTTTTTGCCCCCCCCCCAGCCCCCAGCAGCACTCTATAAGCCTCCATAAGGCTATGCAAGCTATTTTTTTGATGAAAAACGGGCCCGTTTTCACGAAAAATGAGCTGTTTTTTGCTCTTTTTGCGCCCCCTCCGGAACACTCTGCAAGCCCCCCCCCCCCCAGGCTATTCATGCCTTTTATTTGAAAAAAAACAGGCCCGTTTTTGTGAAAAATGAGCCCATTTTCACAAAAAACAGGCCGTTTTGGGGAGGTTTGCAGAGTGCAAAACCCCCCCTCTTTCGGAAAGCTCTTTAGTTAGAGTGGTTGGTGAGAATTACATTGATCAAATGCTGTGCCAGCAGAAACAAAAACTTAGGTGCTGCAGGTTGTCAGTGATTTCCTTCTCCAGCACATGGATAAATACACCTGGAAACATCTACCTACCTACTCTCTCTCTCTCCCTATCTACCTACTGTATTTCTCTCTCTTCATTTACCTACCTACTGTATTTCTTTCCCTCTATCTACCTACCTACCTACTCATACTCTATCCCTCCCTACCTACTGTATTGCTCTCTCTCTACCTACCTACCTACCTACTCTCTCTCTCCCCCTCTACCTACCTACCTACTCTCTCTCTACCTACCTACTTACTGTATTTCTCTCTCCCTCTATCTACCTACCTACATTTTTTTTAAATTTGCCTCTTCAAAACCTTGGTGCTTCTTATACTCTGGTGCATCTTATACTCCGAAAAAATACAGTAGATAAAATATTGGATAGTTTTAAGAAAGTATGGGCTTAAAGCATTCACCTTTTGAAAAAGGTTCGCTTTCATAAGTAGAGGCAGTTCATGTTCTTTCTGTTATGAAATCTTGACATGCAGATTTCCCTTCAATCCATTTTTAATTATGGATGTCAATGAATAGGGAGGGAAAGGACAATTGCATCTTTTTAATAACTAACATGATTAGTACCCTATAGTAGTCATCAGATTACTTTTGTTGCATCCTTTTTGTAATAGTTTTTTCCTAAATCAGCTGGAAGGTGGTTGGTATTTTATCCCCATAGAACATTCATTGAGGGCCACATCAGGGTTGTTGGACCTCAGGGGGCCAGGTGGGCGTGGCTGGGGTGGGTGTGGCCAGCTCAACATCACTTGTGTCGGCACCTGTGGTGGCCTGGGCAGGCTGTGGGGATCCATTGTCTCCAGTGGATGAAGGAGAGACCAGGGAAAATGCCAAACCCTTGTCCTCCAGAGGAACTTACCGTCTGCTGGTGACCGAGTGCTAAGGCAGGACTTCCTTCCTTTTTCTTTTTTTCCTTCCTTGTTCTTTTCCCATCTTTTTCTTTGTCTCGCCTCTTTCCCTTTCTCCTTTTCTGTCCCTTCTTGAATGCTCAAATGCAAAAGAGGAAACATTTCTGCTTTTAGATTGTTTTGCTTGCCAGTGAAAACAGCGCGGCAGAGCTACCCATGTCCCCTGCAGGCCCTGTTTTCAGCCTGGACAGCCTCCTGCAGCCCTCTACCAGTGAAAATGGAGCCCGGAGTTCCACACGCAGCCCCCCCCCCCCAAGCTGTTTCCAGGGTGCCCTGTGGGCCAGATCTAAGCATCTGCGGGCTGAATCCGGCCCACGGGCCTTGAGTTTGACACCCCTGCCATAGAACATTTGGGTTTTGAGAAAAAAATATGGGGCTAATATAATAGAAACCTTTTATCAAAAGCCAATTCCTTTGAGATATATGAAGATTTTACCCAGTTATAATAAAATAATTTCAAAGTGAAGGACTGGAAAACCTTTTCCGTTTTTAGCATTTTGCAAAAAAATTAACGAAGTTTCTGATATGCTGGAGAACCACATAATCTATACTGCTGATAAGTTAAACTATTTAGCTTTATTGAACAGTTTGTACAAAGCTCTGATCAGAAGCTTAAGGATACTCTTGTGTTGAAAAAAGTATTTTCCAGGCAACAAAGAAAGGAGCCCATCAAACTTCTTTCAAGGAGCTTTGTCTTCTTTTTCGGGCCATTTCCATGGCATTCCCATTGTTTTAAAAGCAGAAAAGAATGAACTGCTTAAGAGTCCTTTTATTTTCTATTTAATACACATTTTCATGGATCTAAAACAGTGTTACTTCAATTATTATTTCTTGATACAGCTTTAAAGTCTAAAAAAAAACCTTGATAAGTAACTACATTCTACAATAATATGACACTTCTGAAATCTGAAGTGATTACTGCATGGTTATTGTCTTGAATTCATTTCACACTTTATTAGGCATAGGCATCTTTTTTTTAAAAAAATAGGGCCACAGTAAGACAGCAGCAGAAGTGGATAGAAACCCCCTTCTCTTTGACAGTTTTTATTTCTTTCTGATACTATTTACTCATCTGACATATTTTTCTCTGTTCAAACTTTCAAACTTTAGAGGAAGAACACTTTCATCATTAGATTCAAATTGACCTCTTATAGAGGACTATTAGAATTAGGCCATGAGCCATATAAAGCCTTAGAGCTGCAGGTTACTAATTTTTGTTCTATACTAATTGATATGTTAGTATACAACAGGCCAGGTAACATTTCTGTGCATGTTTACTTCAACACACCTATTTAGTGATTATTCACAGTAAGGCTTATATAAAGGATTGCATGCCAATTTTGGGTAACTTTTTTTTTTTTGCTGGCTTCCACTCTCCCTCAAAAGTTTTAGCTAATTGAGTTGAGAAAGCTAAAATTGTGTGTGTGTTTACTAATCTGGAATAGGAGTTTGAGCTGCTTGATTTAATCTACAATTTATAGTCCATCTTTCAGATTAAGGTCTCACAAGACAATTACCTTAGGCACTGAAAAATGTTGTGGATGCTGCTGAAATATATTCTTGGTAGAAGCTCATGTTTCTACAAGAGTATTGCACTACAGTAAGTTTAATTTTACAGGAAAAGCTGCCTATCTACTTAATGCAAATCTATTTTATTTATTAAATATATATTTAAAGTATGTAGATGTTAAACCAAAGAAGCAGCTACTTAAGAGGAAAGAGTGAGTATATGAAAAACTAATTTTCAAAAAATACTTTTGCATAGGTTCAGGGTAGGTGCTAGGTGGGTATTAATGATTCAGGGTATGTGGAAGTTGGTAAAACAAAAAAACATTTTGAGTTTCCTCAGTTTACTTGCTTTTTAAAGGAAAAGGAAGTAAATGTCAAGGAAAAGGCAAGATTTTGTTTTAAATGCTGATGAAGTTTTTGGTATTATGTAAAAGCTAGTTCAGTCTTTTTGCATTTGAAACAGGCCTCTCTATACACCTTAACAATTTAGGAGGCATTATCTTGGGTATGAAGTCAGCCATGCAGACTGTTGATAAAAGGGAGAAGCAACTGAGTATAATATTCGAAGTGGCATTTTAATTATGAGTATAGGATTTTAATATTTGGTTTATTAATGACTGATATGAATTTAAACCCCCTCCTTTTGGGGGGTCCCTTGTTTTATTTCGTTTGCTTGGAAATCAGAATCCGCCACAACCTCAAACTGTCACATCAAAGTCAAAAACCGAGAGAACAAGCTTTTATGGATATGCCAAGATGCCATCTCTACAGGGACGATATGACGCAGAGCACAAGCACATAGTTCAGTTAGACTTATTTGCGAGTTAACACGCTGAGAAGATGGACGGCTACATATTGATTGTCGTCCTAATATCTCGCCCGTTAGAAGTACTGTTCAAATTAATGGGGCTTTTCGAGCAAGGCAACACAATTTCGCTGGCTGGGGCTGCAAGTGCATTTTGCACGCGATCGACTGTAACCAGATCTGGCAACACGACATCCGTGCAAAAAAAAAAAAAATCTATTGCAGGACTAAACAAAGCGTCGAGGAGACGGCGGCGAAGTGCCGCGAGCAATGTTTTCAAAACGAAAAAAAAATCATTTTGCAAACCCTGGTTAAATCAAGAGTTGCTCATCGGGGCCAGAGCAGCCAGGATGCACGTAGAAGATAAAGGCATTAAAGAAAAGGCTTCCGACGCAGGCTGGTCTTAGCCCAGTACATGGGGGGGATTTTGCAGGGACCAGTTGGAACTGGTCAACTCGCTCGAAATTTGTAGGGCCGACCCTTAGCACTTGCTTCTGAAGCTGCGAGTGGTGTGACTTAAAATTTGGGCTACTGCACCTTCTATTTTACCATCCCACCCACCCTCGCCTTTAATTATTCCCGGGTTGTGTTTATTTCGGGCCACGTAAATCCAGACAACCACCAGTTGGCAACAAGGAAATAAAGAAAAGGTAGGGCCACCAGGTTTGGTAACCCTGCCTTTTCTGCGGCTGATCAACTGACGTTGAGTAATTCGGGAGTATCTCTTTAAAGGAGAGTCTACGACGCTCTACCCCTCTTCTCCCTCCTCCACCCTCCCTGCCAGGGTCGGGCAACTGGCGAGGAGCGGCAACGAAGACTACGCAAGGGCTGCGCGTAACGGGCCCCGCCTTGGCCAGCGCCTTTAAGAGCGAAGGGGCACGTGATCAGCCCCCCCCCGGCTCCCCCTTTTCGTTCACACCTGCTTGTAGGAAGGGGAGGGTGTCAGCCACCGAACACAATATTAAGGGGAGTGGGGGAAAGGGAGGGGAGCCAAAAGGAAACCATCGCGTGGCTTTTGTTTAAATCGCGCGCATGCGAGTTGAAGGTAGACCGCTGCAGGGATTTCCTCATCCAAAATGGCTGCCGCGATGGATGTTGATACTCCGAGTGGGACCAACAGCGGTGCCGGTAAAAAGCGCTTCGAAGTAAAGAAGGTGAGAAAAGGGAAAACGGTTTGAAGCCGTAATGGTAACGAATCCGAACGGACTAGAGAGGGTGTCGATTCTTTTTGGGGGGCTCTGCTTCATTATATTTGAAAGGGCAGGTGCTTAGATTAGACAGCATCCTTCTGGACCGAGTTTGGGAAGGGGCGGTCACGCGTGTGAGTGAGCCGCCAAGTACTTGAGTGTTGCGCAGCTCCGTGCGAAAGGCGATGGGAAAAAGAGAGAGGTGAGAGGAAAGTGAGGGAGAACTTTACCGGTAGACTTATCTACTCACTAGGGTTTTTAAAGGCGGCATTTCGATTACCAGCTCTCGGTAGTTCTTTGATTTGGGATGCTTGGAGGGGAGGTGGGGCGACGGGACAGTTAAGATCTCTGACCAAGAAAATATTGGCTAAATGATACATCAGGAAATTGGCTCTTCTGGCTCCTAACGTCATACCAATTGGTCTTCCTAATCTACCTGTGACAGTGTTTGTAAATATGAACATACAGGTGGTCCTTGACTTACAAAAGTTCGCTTAATGACCGTTTGAAGTTACAACAGCACTGAAAAGAGACTTGTGACTTATTTTTCACACTTATGATCATTGTAGTATTCCGAGGATCATGTGATTTACATTTGGATACTTGGCAACGGTCTCACATTTATGACAGTGGCAATGTCCCGGGATCATGTGATTCCCTTTTGCGACCTTCTGACAAGGAAAGTCAATGGGGAAGCCAGATTCACTTAACAACTGTGTGACTAATTTAACAACTGCAGTGATTCACATAACTGGCAAGAAAAATGGGACAAAACTTGATTAACAAATTTCTCACTCAGCAACGTAAATTTTGGGCTCAATTGTGGCTTTAAGTTGAGGACTATCTGTATTAATTTCCAATCAGTATGTGTCCTTATGATATAGTTCCACAACTTAGTCCACTAGATAAGAAAGTGTTACGTGTGTATGAGACTGTACTGGTGATTTCTAAAGATACTTGTAGCTGTCATTGTGGTTGGCTAACTAGAGTGAGAGCTAAGAAAGACAAAGGTGTATGTAGGACCATCTCCATGGAACAATAATTTTTTCTGAATTTTCATAATAAAGGAAAATGAAATGCTTAAAAATAAATCATTGTCAGCAGAGACTGAAAGCAACTCCAGCAACATTTAGTTATATTTATTTGAAATAACAGATTTTCTGAATTGGTACATATTTTTGAATTACAAAATAATCTATTTTCTAATTGGACGTTTCATCAAAGGAAAAAAGTCAAATTTAATTGTTATTAAAATAATAGATGTAACTGCATTAAATTATTAAAATATTAAATATTACTGTTTGTAGTAATGTTAGCATATGAAGTGAGGTTGAGAAAAAGGTACTGGCTTAGCATTAATGATTCACTGATTATTGAGAAGGATGGAAGGCTAAGTCAACCTTGAGCCTGGTGAGATTTGAACTGCCAAATTGCAGGCAGAAGAAGTAGCCTGCAGTACTGCACTCTAACCACTGTGCCACTGTGGCTAATATGAAATGAATAAGGCTTTTGATTTATTTTTATTAATTAGAACAATAGAATACATCTATAATAACAGTGGTTGGGAAAAATCACTGGGACTGAATAAAAAGTGTTTATAACTAGATATGATTGGGTCTGTGTATTCTATTGCTGTTCAGTAAACCATATTCAATAAAAGCGCTGAATTGGCTCAAGGATGACTAGGAGGAAATGAGCAAAATTGATTCTTTTGTACATACTTGTATGCACTTACATGTCTCTTCTTTTTGTAGTGGAATGCAGTTGCCCTCTGGGCTTGGGACATCGTTGTTGACAACTGTGCAATATGCAGAAATCATATTATGGATCTCTGTGAGTACTGGTAAAGAGAATATACGTGTTTGTGTAGTGCAAATCCTATAATTACAGATGTGCAAAGACTAATAGAAAAGTCCAGTGACATAATGAAAAACAACTTCAAATGGAAAGTAGGGCAATAATTGCCTGCCACCATTTGTGTTAGATTCCCCATCCCACTCCCACTCGGAGTTGTATTCATAGTTCTGGATCTTGATTGCCAACTTTCAAACTCTCACTGGATTGCAGTTTCTTTGTAGGCTGGAGATTATGAATGTCCTGACTATAAACTGATTTTTGGCTTTTAAAGAGAAAACCTTTGAGACAAGCTAGAATTTATGCCTTTGAAGTTTTCTCTCATTATGAAATGGTGAGGCAAATTAAACCATTGCCATAGTTGCTTTTGAATCTGTTTTCTGACACTAAAAATAGTTGTGTAGTTTTGTGCTTAGCTCCAAGGAGTGAAACAAGGCTGAACAACAGCTGGAGTGTATCTGTTGTGGGCCTTATTATGAGGATAATTAGTCATATGTTAGAGCATGGATGTCAAACTCATGGCATCACATGACATCGTAATGTTTTTTTCCCTTCGTGAAGCTGGGGTGGGCATGGCCTATGTGTGACACATCCAGCCTGTGAGCCCCCAATTTGACATGCCTGTGCTAGAGTATGCAGTCGGGGGAAATCACTTCATTGAATCTATTGCACTACGTAACTGTTTAGAAGAGCTTTGTGAAGAGGCATAAAGCCTTTTCTTAATTTACTGAAAATACTGAAGATCTGCTATAATGATTTTCCTAAATTCTGTCAAGATAGCAATTTTCTGCAGATTCTATTCAAGCATGTCTTGCTGTATGTTTTCCATCTCTCTGTGATCAATGTTTCCTTCCCTGCTTCAGAATATTGACAAAATTCTTGAAAAAAATATGCCCAAATACCTGTTTTCAATTGTTGCAGATAAGACATGAAAAAGCTAGCTGAAAGAATGGCTGGCTGCATTGAGGATTTGTTATTGTATCATCAGTCCAGACATTTATCTATTTTAAATGGTCATATATTTTATTTTCACTGCAGGAATACATACTTTATCTGACAGTGCTTGTAGATTTACTGAAGGAGCATATCTTGGTGTCCAACACCATTCTTTGGGCTGATATATTATCTAGGTTTTCCTTAGGGACAGACCTGTTACATTTGTGCTAATTTCAGATTTGTAATACTGTTATATATTCTGTACATCTTCCTTAAAGAGTAATTCAGAGACTAGAATTAGTGCAAGATACCACAAATATATTACAACTAAGCTACCATAAATGCATCATACTCTCTGCCAGTAGGCTGCTGCATCATTTTTAAAGTAGTGGTGTTAAATGTTAATGCAAAACTGTCTATATCCATATAGCCATCCTTTTTACATTTAGGAAGAGAACTTTCAAATAAGAATAGAAAACAAGCTGTTTTTCTAGGTGAAAGACAGAAATTTGGGAGGAAATGGAAGGATAGATAATTTTAAGGGTTTGACAGATTGTATCAATTTGGTTTGCTTATGAACAGAAAAATAAAAAGGTTTATTCAATCAGTAATTATAAATACATTGATGTTTTCTTAAAATGTTTAATTTCTGTCAAACCAAAATATAAGCTTCTAAAATCTAACAAATGTAGCATCTCTTCATTTTCACTTTTGACTATATTCATATGAAGAAGTATTGTGAGGATATTTTTGTGCTTCTAACTGTATTCATATAGATACACAGTGAAAACTATATCTGTGTATGTTTGTTTGAAATCTATCCTTTGGTGTTAAAATGGCCATCATCTATATATTAAGTATATTCAACCAAATAACAAATGAAATTAAACCATTCTGCAACCATTTTCCAAATGTACATTTGGATATGTTCATTGTAGAAAGAAAGAGGGAAACCTGATAAATCCTATCTTTGCTGGTCCCTGACCACTTATTTTAAGAAAGGAAAGATTAAAAGGTTCTTCATTTTTAGGTTAGAAAAATCCTGGTGCATTATAGTTACGTATCTAAAATCTGATTTTATGGTTTTTAGGAAATAGTTAGTTGAAGGTTATACACATACCCATGCATACATGAAGCCCCGGGTATGGACATTGCAGCCATCTTAACTTTTTGATATAATCTACCATGTCATTGTTTTGAAACACCTACATACAACTGGATAGTGAAAATGGTATGAATAACATGGTTTATTATATAACTGGACTCCAGAATTTGATTGCAAAATGTTCAACTCCCTAAAATATTGCTACAAGATGCTGCAAGTTTGTATTGCTTTAAAAGTTACGATAATTGCTGAGAAAAATCATATACTAATTTGGAATTAAGTTGCTTCTAATGAAATCTAGGTCTTTTTCTCTTTTTCACCTTAACTAGTTCCCTAATTGATGGTTGTTTGATAAAGGCTACGAAATTGAAGCTATGTGTGTAAAATGAAATTCACAGTGGTTTATAACATATTTATTGTATTATAAATGTTGTAGTCTGTTTTTAATCACATTTATTGTCCATCAGAATCATGGATTCAGAATGTAGTTAAATTGAACTCTGCTTCTGAAAACCCATATGCAATCCTTAGTTTTCTGCCTTGAGCAGTTCAAATACTTCCTATTGACTATTTTGGTGAACAGAATTTGTCAAAAATAAACTGATAATCCCAATTTGCCTTGAGTACCCTTTCTTAATTTTGAAATTTGGAGTAAATAGCCATTCAAAATTCAAATTAATAGTACATTTCCTTTGCCATTTGCAAAGAAAAAATATGGATTCTGAACCATTATTGTTATTCCTCTTGATTTGTTTTCTTTTTATGTGCTATTTTAGCTGTTTTTAATGTCTTGATATTAAATTTATTGTAAACTGTTAAGAGATTTCAGTAGCAAGTATACCACATTAAATTAAAAAAATTATGCCAGTGTTTTTCCGAATTTTCCTTTTCGGTTACCTTGCAAATTATTATTTAAATGCAGTATTGGAAGGTCTTTAGGACAGCACTCAGGCTTTGGAGAGCTATCAGTTATACATTGATAAAGTATATTTTAGTAGAAGGCATATTTTTATGCCCAACCCCTCTTTTTTTCTTTTTGTATTTGGCTTTAAGACTTATTCCAGTCATTGATGGACAAATTTGTCCATGTCAGTATGATTATGAGAACCGGTGTTGTTGCTATGATCAGTCTATTGGCTTCTATAGCTTCTTATGATGTAATGAAAATAAAAAATGGAGAAATTGTTTATTACATCATATTGAGCCTTCTTTGTTACTCATACAGTATAGCTGTCTCGTTTCTCCAGTCGACTTTTAGCAGATAATATACTTGTCATCACAGGTTGTTGTTTCATCTACTCAAATAAGTAGTTATGAATCATAACGTTAATGTTGTTCTTGTTCTTGCAGGTATAGAATGCCAAGCTAACCAAGCATCAGCTACCTCGGAAGAATGCACTGTTGCATGGGGTGTTTGTAATGTAAGGAATCTACCTTTATGCCATTTAAATACATTTGTTATTGCAGTAGCAATAAGAATTACTAATAATTTCCAGTAATAAATAAACTAGAAGCAAAATATTTAGAACCAACCTCCAAATTTGGGGGGATGCAGTGAACCTAAATAGCATTCTCCTTTCTAACATAACTGAAATTTGTTTACACTATTGTATTTGGTTGAAACTGTTTTATTTATTTATTAATTTTTTATGCTGCCCATCTCATTGATGCAGCGACTATGTGCAACTTACAATATAATAAAAAAGGTAAAAAAGATAATATAAAGCAATTAAAATTAAAAGGCTTAAATAGAAAGCTAAAAACATAGAGGCTGGAGACTTTCTCTATACTTGCAATTTCTGATGATAATTTTACCCTGAATATGCTGCTGATATCATCCTCTGAAGTAATTCTACAAAATAAAAATAGTAATAAAACAGTTTACAGCATGCTGTTATCATAACTTTCCCTTCTTTTCTTTTAGCACGCTTTCCATTTTCATTGCATTTCCCGCTGGCTTAAGACTCGGCAGGTATGCCCATTAGATAATCGAGAATGGGAGTTTCAGAAGTAAGTATCATATACTTGCCTAAATAAGGGAAATACAGTTAACCATAGCATATGCCTAATTTCATCCAGGTGCTTTGATTATAGGTAGAGCTTACATTGCTAGCGTTTTGGCAAGCTGAAATTGGCACTTCCATATGCTTTAAGTTTAAAGGGATGTAGATGAAGTACAACATTACTACATCTGCTTAAAGGGAAGTACATGAGCATATATGAATTACGGTATCCCTTTAGGCAGCAGAGAAAAGTGTTATTGATAAAAGTATAGCATATACTTGTATACAGTATGCAGACTTATATTCAAGATTGCACATATATTTCATTATATAAGTAGAATGATTGTGTTCAAGTCCCCACATTAAGAATGCCCTGATTTTAAAATAACCCACAGTTAAGAATTTGAGTTAAATATACAGTGATTCAAGTTAAATACATAATGGTTCAAGTTCATTATTCAATATTACTTACACAATTATATTGTTCCTGCTTACATACAAGTTTGACTTAAGGGTAGATCTTGGGAAGGGTAGACCTTAAAATGGGGACTATCCATTCGGGACTAAATGTCTTTGGAAATAAAGGTAGTTAATCTGATGTCTGTTAAAATACCAATAACAGTATAAAGTATATTTGTAAACTTGGTTTGATAGGTACAGATTTGCAACTGAAGAATGGAGCAGATTTGCAACTACATTAATAACAGTTTATGGGCAATGTATCAGTTTTTTATTGTAATAAGCAATAAAATATATCATGGAGAGATTTTGGTTGACCTTAATTAATATATAAGAATCAATAAGATTGCAGCAGCTTAAACAAAAGCATCAATAATGGGATTTCAGAGCTAAGAAATAATATTGCTTAAGATTCACAGAGATTTTCAACATTCTGTGTCATGTAACGTAAAGCATGCAACACATTTCAGATCAAGTTAAATATGGTATACGAATGATGTAATGTTTCATTCTTTTTTAAATGGCAGAATTGCCAGCTTGTGCAAACCAGCAGTTAACAAGCAGTACACTGATATAGGAGTTCTTTAGTATGATTTCCTAATTTGCAGGTGCTATCCCTTAAATCAGGAAAATGCAACCTAGTTTGCTCTAGATCAGTGATGGTGAACCTATGGCACGTGTGCCACAGGTGGCACATGGAGCCATTTGTCAGGGCATGCGAGGCGCTGCCTTGTCAGCTGGCCAGCGCGCATGCGGGTGATGGCCAGCTGAGTTCACCCTTTTTTAAAGCCATTTTTCGCCCTCCCATAGGAGCCTGGGGAGGACGAACCCCCTCCCGCCCTCCTGGAGGCCATCCGGAGGCTTCATGAGCTTCCCTGAAGCCTCCGGAGTGCAAAAAACGGCCCTACAGGCAAACCGGAAGTTCAGGAACGGACTTCCGGTTTGCTCGGAGGGTCGTTTTGACTGCTCCGCAGGCTTCAGGAAAACCACCTGAATGTCCCTGGAGCCTTCGGAGCGCTCAAAACAACTCTCTGAGCAAACCGGATGTGACTTCTGGTTTGCTCGGAGGGTCAT